CAATTGTTGTGGCATAAACAAAAAGAGGAGAAAGTCAAATAACATGAAGCACACTGAGAAGATGGAAAGACAACATCGGACACACTACTACAATACCAATTAACAATGGCTGGACTTCTGGTTTGAACTCCTCCGGCGACGGACCAAAATCAGCAATCGTGCACAGTTTCGATCCGTGCTTGCTGCCAGACCGCCCTAAGCTGGCTGGTTTCGGGGCTAAGCCACACCATAGAGGTGGTGAAGAGGGGGGAGACTGCCAGCAGGGTCAAGGACAGCCGCATCTCTCCTACTCAGCTGGCCATTCCCCCTTATGCCGAAGGGGGTTGCAGAGGTGGTCAGAAATGACCACCTCAAAGAAGAACTTGACCGGAAAAGAAAGTGCAGGAGGAAGATAAGAAGAGAAAGTTTTGGTTGACCAGATTAAACTGAAAAGGCAACAATGTAATGTACCCTGCAATTTAAACTATAAAAATAACATTGTTCCCAAAGAAGACTTTAAAGTGGCGAAGGAGAGAGGGAAGGGAAAGGATTTGGTTTTTTTCTTTCTCCCTTCCTTATACTGACAACTAAGAGACTTAAATAAGAAATTGACAAAAATCCACTTTGACATTAATAGGCATTTAAGATGAAAATAAAATGTCAAAGGGATAATACAGATTTTTGGATATTTAAAAACTTTTAAAAGCAGGAAAGGAGAGAAAAAGAATAAAAGGGCAGGATCTGGAATAATGGAGGAGACTGCCTGGAACTAAAAGGGATTTACACTGAAACCTTAACAAGATTCCTAAAAGATACATTCCTACTGAAAGTTTGTAACAAAATAATAGAACCCCAGGAAGAGAAAGTGGAAAAAAAGAAGCAAGAAGAAACAGCTTTGGATTATTTGGATTACTTGGTGATTTATGGATTTTTGGCTATTGCATTTACATGACTAAAATCAATTGGGTGGTTGTTTAAAAGTGTTTAAAATGGCATCACTTTTAGAAGAACTGAAAATGGAACTTAAAAAGCAGAAAGAAGATGCACAAGAAGGGAGAGGTTCTTTTGGCTTCGTATTTCAATTCTTAGAAATGGAGATCTGGAGCTATGAGAAACAACAAGAAACGCTTGTAGAACAAGAAGATCTGGACAAAGGAGAAGCCATCTTTAATGATCAAGTAATTTTATGTGGGGGGGGAAGGAAAGGGGGGGGAAGAGAGTGAAAAGTTTAAGATTTGAAAAAACAACCAAAAAAAGAGAATAGTTTGAAAAATAATTACAATATTAGAAAGAAAGAGCTGTCCCGACTTCAGCAGCTATGGGGCTGCCTCTCCGCCGCCGGCAAAAAGGACTTCTCCCGGATCAACCAGGGACTTTGTGGTGTCCCTGGGATCCACAGGTTATGCCCTTCATGATCAAACGGGACGGTTTAGGTCCGTTTGGACTGGCCAGGGGTGAAGATATCGGCTGCAATCTTGGAGCTCGATTGCAGACCGTACCGTCGCGACGCCAGCTCCTCCCCTCACCGGAAAGCCTACATTATTATATGATGAATATAATCATCTCCTTATTCTTTTTCTGCTAGGACCTAGCAACGGGGGCTCCTCCAATGAGAAGAGACTATCTCCCATCAACTTCAACACCAAGACAGTCATAGCTGATTTTCCTCACAGTCCTATATATTTCTTTGACTATAAAGATCTTAATAACGCCAAGATATTGGTGGGTCACACTGTAAGTATTCATTGATAACTATCTAAAGGGTCACACCGTACATATTCATTGATGACTATCTGTTGCTAAATGTATAAGAAGTTCACTTGGAAAAATACTTTTGACACCATTGGAAATTGAAATCTTGGCAATTTCCAGTTCGGTGGACTTCAACTCCCAGAATTCTCAGCAATGGCCCTGCTGGCTGTGGAATTCTGGGAATCCAGGCCTAGACATCTGGTAATTGACAAGGTTGGAAAATCCTTGTGGTACATCACAGTGATATATATTGCTAGCGGTAGCAGTTCAGCTGGGTTTCAATGGCTACATGATCCCATAAAGCTCAAGAATCCAGTTTGGTTTTTCAAATGGGAATAATTGCTTCTATTCAGGCTAAGCTTACTTCATGGTCTCTGTTCTGTCAGGCCCCGTGATTGGGTGTGATTCATTCAGGCGTAGCAGAAAGAATTTTTGGTAGGCAGCAGTAAGCTGCAGTTCATTCACTGAGATCTGCGCTAACCCAGTTTGAGTGAAACTGAGTCATGCAACCTGTGGCTCCCTCAATTCCATGCAGACCTTAATTTTTCTTTTGGGGAAATAGTGATATAGTGCCTCCTTATTGTCAAGTGAACTCTAGTTTCACACAGAATGGAATAAAATCAACACTTCTCCCTGGACATTCCTCTCTCCAAAACCCACCACATCTTCTATCCATTTATCCAAATCCATGATTTGGCTGTGACCCCAGTCTTCCTAAAATATGGAGCACTTGTCCCAGATGTCGGTTGAAGGAATGATACTGTATGATGTGCACAGTTGTGGCCTGAATGAATACACTGTAAGGGTCTCACATGCTGAGTTGACCTTGTCAACATTCAGTTGGATATCACTAAGTCATTACTTTTCAACTTTGGCAATATTAAGATGTGTGGACTTCAGTTCCCAGAGTTCCCCAGCCAGCATGGGAATTGGAGAACACATTACTTTCTGGCTGGGAAAATGCATAAATGAAAGCTCAGTCATCCAGGTCAAAAGAATTTAAAAAGGTTAAATTATGGCAATTGAGCCAAGGCTACGAAATTCTGGGAGTTGAAGTCCACACATCTTAAATGTCACCTCAAGGTTGAGGGTTTCCTGTTTGAGCAAGGGGTTGGACTAGATTCCCTAGAAGATCCCCAAAGTCCCTCCAACACTGTTATTCTGTTACTGCTCTAAGAAGAAGGAAGGTAGATCAGGGTTAGGGTTAGGGTTAATGTCCAGAGGGACATTATACAGAATAAGCTGAAATCTTTCCTACCCCTTTTGATTTGAGTTTAGAGACAGGAGGAGCAGAAGGCTCTTAGGGCAATGATCCTCTTTTCCCTTGCTGATTGCAATCTATTGATCTGAGGGATCCTATCTTGCATAGTTCCACCTCTTCATCTGCATGATTGGATTCAATTTCTTGCAGTCTTATTAGCAGATGCTACTCAGATGTGACAGGAAGGGAGGGGGAGGGAGGGGGTGAAAGAAAGACTTTGAGACTTGTGAATGACATATTGTTTATTTCTCCTGTCTTGCTGGATTTATGAACTGAAGTGGTCGAATTAATTGGATGTGCGTAATGGGAATTTTGAAATTAGGTGCTGATGTGGGTATCAGGTTGCAATTCTCCATTGGTTTGAACCTGCTTGTTATTTGTTACAAATTCAGGGGTTGTAAAAAGGGCTCCTAACAAGGTTTAACAGATAAAAGATAATCATAGTTGGAGGGGACCTTGTAGGTCATCTAGTCCAACTCTCCACCCAAACGGAAGACCCTACACCATTTCTGACAAATGGCAGTCCAATCTCTTCTTGAAAGTTTCAAGTGATGGCGCTCCCACAACTTCTGAGGGCAAGCTGTTCCATTGGTTGATTGCTCTCACTGTCAGAAAGTTTCTCCTTATTTCCAGGTTAAATTTCTCCTTGTTCAGTTTCCATCCATTATTCCTTGTCTGGCCTACAGGCGCTTTAGAAAATAGCTTGACCCCTTCCTCCCTGTGGCAGCCCCTCAAATATTGGAAGACTGCTATCATGTCTCCCCTGGTCCATCTCTTTACTAGACTAGCCAAGCCCAGTTCCTGCAACTGTTCATTGTATGTTTTAGCTTCCAGTCCCCTAATTATCCTGGTTGGTCTTCTCTGTACTTTTTCTAGAGTCTCAACATATTTTTTATAATGTGGTGAACAAAACTGGATGCAGTACTCTAGGTGTGGTCCTACTAAGGCTTTATAGAATGGTATTAGTACTTCCCTTGATCTTGATTGTATCCCTCTGTTAATACAACTTAGGATTGCATTAGCTTTTTTGGTGGCTGCTGCACACTGCTGGCTCATATTTAACTGGACTCCAAGATCCCTCTCACAGTTACTGCTATTGAGCCTGGTTTCACCCAGTCTATATGTGTACTTTTGGTTTTTCTTGCCTAAGTGTAGGACTTTACTTTTCTCTACATTGAATTTCATTTTGTTAGATACAGCCCAGTGTTCTAGTCTGTCTAGATCCATCTGGATCTTGAGCCTATCTTCTTGGGTGTTAGCTATTCCTGTCAGCTTAGTATCATCTGCAAATTTGGTAAGTTCCCCTTCTATTCCCTCATCTAAGTCGTTAATGAAGATATTGAAGAGTACTGGGCCTAAGACGGAACCTTGTGGCACCCCACTGCTTACTTCACTTCATGTAGACTTAGACCCATTAAGGATTACTTGTTGAGTACAGTTTGCCAGCCAGTTGCGAGTCCATCTAGTGGTGGTGCTATCTATTCCACTTTTTTCTAGCTTACTAAGAAGTAGGTTGTGGTCTACTTTGTCGAATGCTTTGCTGAAATCTAAATATAGGTTTAAATCATGAACATCCTGTGATGTACACAGCTAAGTTTGAGAGTTAAGAGTCATTCATTCATTCATTCATTCATTCATTCATTCATTCATTCATATCCCACCTTTATTATTTTTACAACTAACTCAAGGTTGCAAACATATCCAACACACCATCTTTCTCCTATTTACTCACACAACAACCCTGTGAGGTATGTTGGCCTGAGAGTGAGTGTCTGTTTCAAGTTACCCAGATGGTTTTCATGGCTAAGGCTGAACTAGAACTCATAGTCTCCTGCTTTCTACTGGGCAACTGTACTTCTACACCAGTTTGTCTTTCTTTATCCCAACATAAAAATGAAAGTTGGCTTAGAAGAAGCTGAACAAGTGGACTCATAATCACAGTGGACTATAGTCACAACATTATTAAATACCATCTCTTTTCTTGCCATATTTTCTCTTCTTCACATTGAAGGGGAACTCTCGGAGTCTACTAAACAAAGGTAGAACTGCAATCCATGGAAAACGGCAACAGACGGACATTTATCTGTTAAGAGAGGCCTTAGTCTTCCACTTAAGGAACCCAAGACAAAGATGTTTAGACAGAAAAACTGGATAAATGGCCAATCCTTAGTAAATGCATTAAGGCAGGGTCTCTGTGTACAATTGACAGACTCAAGAAATCCACTGTAGAACTGTATCAGCAGATGTTTGAGCAATCTGAGCTTTCTGAATTGATGCAGGAAGAACATTCTCTATTGTGCCTTTTTAATGATGGTTCTAATGTTAGGTGCTCCTTTTAAGTCCTGGGAGATTATAGAATCCAGAAACATGGAGATTTCTGCTGTTGATACTGTGTTGTCTAATATTATAAGAGGTGGAAGAATAGGAGAGCTTCTCCTAAAATCTACTATCATCCTTACAGTTTTAAGAGTGGGATTTTCTGGGATTGTGTGACACCTAAGGTACTTTCATAAATATTTAATATGATTTACAAATCAACATCCGTTGGAATAATGCTCATTTGCTCTTTGGTCAAAGACCCATCATTGCTCTTAATTTTGGTTTTGCTCTGTTGCAGTTCAGATAGATTTTCATCCCAAAGCAAGAATCTCTTGTGAAGGCCTTTCAGCATTTTATTTCCTGTACCAGGCCCACTTCCATTTGGGCACCGAAAATAGCAATGGTGCGGAGCACGCAATTGATGGCAAACACTATGCCATGGAGGTAATCAATTTATAACCACAATTTGAAGACGAGGTTGTAAAGACAAGTCTACCTCTAGTGTTACACTCTATTTAAAATATTGGTACTCATGCTGATTATACATTCTTGCACCAGATGCACTTGGTTCATATTAAAAACAACATGAGTATAGAAGACGCATTGAAGGAGTCTGATGGATTGGTCGTCATGTCATTCATCATAAAGGTGAGCAGCGTGAATGGTTGGCCAAGAGAAAAGCCAATCCAAGGCTCTGTTGCTGTGTCCCGGGGTCACAGGATCCCTTTTTGCAACATTTATATATTTATTTATTGATTGATTGATTGATTGATTTGTCAATCGCTTACAAGATAATAGGTATAAGTATATACATAGTTATGAATGCATGAAATGGGTACATATAACAAAAATAAAAGAAACAATAGGACAGGGACGGTAGGCACGTTGGTGCACTTATGCATGCCCCCTCTTAGGAAAGGGGTGAGGTCAATAGTAGACAGTCAAGGTTGAAGTTTTTGGGGTTTGGGGAAGAAACCACAGAGTTAGGTAGAGTATTCCAGACATTGACCACTCTGTTGCTGAAGTCGTATTTCCTGCAATCAAATTTGGTGCAGTTAACCTTCAATTTGTATCTATTGTGTGCTCTTGTGTTGTTATGGTTGAAGCTGAAGTATTCATTGACAGGTAAGTCATTGCAATGTATGATTTTATATACCATACTTAGATCAGACCGAAGACGGAGTAATGCAAGGTTTTCTAGGTCTAGAATTTCAAGTCTGGTGGCATAAGGTATTCTACAACGAGTAGAGGAGTGGAGAACTCTTCTTGTGAAATATTTCTGGACTTTCTCAACTGTGCTAATATCAGATACGTAATGTGGGTTCCAGACTGATGAGCTGTATTCGAGTATTGGTCTAGCAAATGTTTTGTGTGCTCTAGTTAATAATGTGATATTACCAGAGAAAAGATTAGGTTAACAACTCTTAATGCCTTTTTGGCTATGTAGTTACAGTGGGCTCTAGCACTTAGATCATTAGAGCTGATTATTCCAAGGTCCTTTACAGAGCTTGGATCATCAACAAGATCTTGACTATTCAGCTTGTATTTTATTTTATTTATTTTTATTTGCCAGTATGTAAGACAGAGCATTTATTTGTTGAGATTTGAAGTTGCCATTTGTTTGACCATTCTGATACATGGTCAAGATCTTTTTGAAGGGTAGCAGTATTGTCTATGGTATTGAACAGCTTTACATCATCAGTGAAAAGAACGCAGTTGCTCTTAATATGATCACAGAGGTCATTTATGTAGAGTATGAAGAAAGTTGGTCCTAGAACACTGCCTTGGGGGACACCACTATTGACAGGTACAGAATTTGATAGGACACTCCTAATTTTGACCATTTGTTGTCTGTTTGACAGGAATGCTTCTATCCAGTTATGCAGTTGTCCAAAGATACCATAAGATTTTAGTTTTAGGAGTAGTTTGTCATGTACCACTGAATCAAAGGCTTTACAGAAGTCTATGTAGATTGCGTCTATTGTTTTGCCCTGATCGAGTTGTGTAGTCCATATGTTTTTGCAGTGTAGGAGTTGGCTTTGATGGTGTCGGCGTTGGCTTTGATGGTGTCGTCATTGCAGTCTTTACCATTAGGTCCTATCAAGGGTGGGATGGACCTTGAGTCTTTTAGTTTGTTGTTTACAAAATTGTAAAAAGCGCGGGTGGAATTGGTGCATAGAAGGTTTTCCTCTTGTTTAATGTGATAATTAGTGCATTCAGTCTTTATCTGGTGGCATAAATTTTTGTATCGGCTTTTGTAGTTGGCAGCGTGACCAGATTTGTTTTTCCACCAGAGTGATCACTTTTTGGATTGAAGTTTCCTTATTGTTATGGGTAATCTGTTTTTTTGTTTGTTTGTTTGTTTTGAGAATTGTTATTGGTACATATAGTTCGATGACTCTTTTGACTTCAAGTAAAAATATGTTGTAATGGTCTTCAACAGTATTGCATCCAGTGAATAGAGATTGCCAATCAAGGGATAAGAGATCATTGTCTATAAGATCATAGTTGCCTTTTTTGAAGTTATAATTGGGGATTATGTCATTGTGATGATTTTTGTGTGGGCGTATGTTGAGACAAAAGTCAGTCATATTGTGGTCACTGTTGGGAAAGGGTTCTTTAGTTTGTATTCCATAAATTAAATTCAAACTATTGCAGAAGATGAGATCGAGGCAGTTGTTAAGTCTAGTGTTGTTGGTTACTAGTTGTTCCAGTCCCAGATTTGTAACAGCATTGTAGAAGGTTGCATGTATGGGTTCAGTTGTACATTTGTTTAGGATCCAGTCAATATGAGATAGATTGAAGTCACCAAGAAAGATAAAAGTGTGTGGGCAGGATGTTGCCCATGTTAGTAGTGAATTTAGCTTGTTTACATGTTCGATGTCATAATCAGGTGCTCTGTAACATAGTAAGAATCAAAATGTGATATTTAAGGATAGTTCACAGATGATGGTCTCAGGAAGAGCAAGCTCCTGGGTAACTTGGATGTTTTTTAGATGTAAGGACTTTTTATAGAAGATAGCAACACCACCTCCTCTATGAATTTCATGATCTGATCAGTAAACATGATGGTCTCTTACTGTAGTAATGGAGTCAGGGAGAGATGCATTGAGCCATGTTTCACAGACAAATATGATGTCGAATTTAGCCATATTTAGTAAGAGGAGAAATTCAGGTATTTTATTCACAAGGCTTCTTACATTTAGTAGCTTGCATTTAAAGCCAGCTGTGGTTGGAATTGAGGTAGTTAGGGGCATGTGTGCCTCGTCTTGGGTGATGGTGGATTGGTTGAAGTAGGGTTGTGGTTGAAGATTAAAGCTGAGCTGTGGGTTGTGTGACTTACTTTTGATACAGTCAGCACAGTAGTCAATGTACAGATCCTTCTCTCCATTGTCTAGATGTTTTTTGAGTTCTGTGCGGAGTACACGGGAGCGGACACGTTGCTGTATGGTTAGGTCAGGGTGAGAACAGAGTTCTTATGATTGGTGTTGCATTTGGCGAGTGAATTTATAGTATAAATGAATTTACGTTTGCTTGATTCATTTTTGCAAATGACCCTGCAGACGCGTGAGGCCACAGAGCCGTCTCTGTTTTTGAACTCTGGGCCGATGCGGGAAACCCCGATGTGGGAAATATCAAGTGTTTCATCCGGGGAGATGTTTGATGCTTGATAATCACTGATGATGTTGCGGAAAGTTGTGATGTCATCATTGTCATTGATGTCCTTTAGACCAAATAAGATGGCATTTGGACATTTCCGTTCACACTCAACAGCTTCTCTGATGAGGATTGGGATATCATTATTTGTCTGATTTATGTTTCTTTGTGGATTGGGTTGTGGATTGGGTTGTGGTTGTTGGGTAGAGATGTGGTTTGTAGCTATTGGATGTTCAGGTTTTTGTGTTGTGTCTTTTTTTTCAAGGTTATTTAATCTTTCTTTTAAAACATCCAGGGATGCTACTATGGTGTCTAGGGATGTTATTCATGTTTCTATGGTATCAACTCTTTCAAACAGATCCAGTTTGGGTCTGCATGATTTGCAGAGATATGGAAACTCATTGGATGATTCTAGGTATTGAATCATTTGCTCAGTTAATCCCAAGCAGTCATGATGAGCGTATTTGTTACATAGAGAACATTTGATGGAAGTTTCATTATCCTTTAGTGTTTTATAGCATTTAAGGCATGTGCAGGAGTCTTGTGGTTCATTGGTGGGGATTACTTTCTCTTTAAGTTGTGGTTTGGCATTGGATTTTTTTTTTGGCATGGTAGGTTTGTTAAGATGGTACGTTGATTAAATTACTTAATGAAACAATTTTGGGTAATCAATATAGCCAATATCACACCAATCAATCAATTGCAATAATCTCTCTAGTCAAATAATTTTGCTAAGCAACAATCAGCCTAATCAATTAATTACACTAATTGCTAATCAATTAATTACACTAATCATTGATCACACCATTCAATTAAATTCACTAAATCACTAATTTTACTAATCAATTAAATTACATGAATCTTGATCTTTTAAACTAATCAGTAATCACACCCTTTGCACTAAACACTCTAATCACACTAATCAATTAAAACAATAAATCAATTAAACCATTAATAAATTATTTTATAGAAATTGATTAATGATTGATATAGGTAATGAGGTAGAAAAGTTGTAAGTTTTGAGGTAATGAATTAATCAGTGTTTGATTAAAATAATGAGGTAGTATTGAGAGTCTGCAAGGAAAGGGTTAATTGTTTTACTAGCAGCTGTTATTTACTGGGTGGAAGGGATTTATTGAACTGATGGCTGCTGCTATTGGGCTGTAAACAATAGGCTGTAACAGGATGTTAGAAAGCATGCTGGATTATTGAAAGAGAGCAAAACTCGCTGAATTAGAACATTTTAACTACAATCAATATGTCTCTGAATAAGATTGTTTTCCAATAGTTTCCCAAGGTTCTTCAAGTTGAGTAGTAGTAAAAATACAGTCCAGAAATTTGGGTTAACCAATCCAATATGTCCTTTACTTTTAAAGTTACTTCTAGCTGCAATATCTTTTCTTTCTTTACTAAATCTGACAGTCACTCCTGATCGTTAATTGCAGCTAATTTCCTCCTCTGAGTCCCACTTTCCAAGGAAAATTCCACTGCAGAAATTGGAGTGATTCTTTCCAAGACTAAGCACGCTGTTACAAGATCTTTCCTTTCTTTTTCACTTCCGTTTCAGCTGCCTTCATGGCTTCGATTCAGCCATGCTGGCGGTTGTCTTTTTAGTTCGGATGGAGGGGTTTTCTTCGAGTCAGTCGAGGAGACTCTACTCTCCTCGCAACCACCAAAGCATCCCCTCTGCCTTTATCACCCCTTCTGCCTTTATCACCCATCCAGGATTACTTTCGGCTCCTAAGAGCCTCAGGGCTTGAAGAAATCCTTCTGATCCTTCTGATCAGCAAAGTCCGTGGGGAAGCCAGATTCATTTCACAACTGAGTCACTGCAGTGATTCGCTTAACAACTGAGGCAATAAAGGTTGCAAAAATCACTTGACAACTTGACTCACTTAACAACATATACTGTTTTCTTTCAATTTCCCATAGAAAACCAAAGGGAATAACCAAGCCAGTGGATGGAACATTCTAGCCAAATTTCTCAAGGACATCCCAGAGAAAGGTGAATCTTAGATTCAACCCTCCCCCCACCCCACAACTTCCCTAAAATAAAAATGAGGTGATGTTATACCTGTCTCCTTTTTGGGGGGAGTTTCAGGTAACTCTAAGAATCTGAACGGGGAATTCAGTCTGGGTAGTTTATGGAGAGAAGCAGATGTACACCACTATTTCTACTACAATGGATCTCTCACTTCTCTACCTGGTGCCAAGTCTGTGATATTGTTTGTCTTTGCAGTCCCCCTTGAGATTTCTTACCAAGTGGTGAGTGGATAAGATCAGATTCCTCTCCATTTGCAGGAATGGATTCTAAGGTTCTCTGAAAATAGATTGACCTTTATTTATGTATTTATTTAGCGTATGGCACGTGTTAGCCAGGGATCACCCAGGTGGCTGGCTGACCATTGCAACTTTGAACACACACTAAATGAACTGTTGTAAATCGAGGACTACTTGTCTAACAAATATTGTAGATCTAGTTTTGCATTTAAAGTTGGCCCTATGAAGAGGCAAATAAGACCATTGCCAATTGTTTTCCTGGGTTTGCTTCATAATATTCTATTATATTCAATACCATTCTAGTATTATTTTTAATTTGTCTATTCGGTAAAATTTTTGGTCATTATGAATGATCTGATTAAGGGTTTTTTTTCAATCTTTCTGCCATTATGAACATAGATATTTTATAATCAACATTTAAAAAAGGGATATGGGCCTGTAATTTTGAATTAATTGATGGTCCGAATCTTCTTTTGGGATCAATGTTATATATGTCTCCCCCCATGACTTAGATAATTTTGCTGTCATCAATACCTCATTATAAAGTTCTAATAATTGCATTTCTAATTTTCCTTGGAGCGTTTTGTACAGTTACCCAGGGAGACCATCCAGTCCTGGTGTCTTATTGTTTTTCTGTTTCAGGATTACCTCTTGCAGTTCTCTTAATGTTATTTCCCTGTTTATCTCTTCTTTATCCTCTTCCGGGATCACAGGTAGCCCTTTTCCTTCTAAGTAATATTGGATATTTCCCCCTGGTACTTCTTCCCTACTATATAGTTCCTCAAAAAAACTTTTAACAATATGCTTTTTCTTTTCAGTTTGATGTTGTAGTGTACCATCAGTGTCCTTCAATTGTTGGATTGCTCTTTTTTCTTTTTCTTTCTTAAGCCTATAAGCTAGTCACCTTCCCGGCTTATTTGCATGTTCAAAGTAATTCTGTTTTATCTTTTTCATGTCCTGTAACCATTCATCTTGTGCTAACATGTTCAATTTATGTCTAGTCATTATCCTCTCCATGTTTGCTGTCTTATTATGTGGTGTTTTTTCTAGTGTTTTTTCTAACTCTTTAAGAGTATCCAGTAGTTTAGATTGTTCTCCTTTTTTTCCTTGTATATACATGTATTATATGAAATTGCTAGGCCCCTAGTATGTGCTTTAGTCGTATCCCATAGGTTTGGAATTCATGTTTGTTGTTTTTTGTTTTCCTTCAGAAAGAACTCCAATTCTTTTTCCATCATCTTGACACATTCTTTTTCTTTTAGGATCTCCTTGTTTAGCATCCATCTTCTGTTTTTTTTTCAATCCTTTCCAAATTATTTTAATGGGATTATGGTCCACCCAAGTGTTAGATTCAATTTCTATTTCTTTTATATTATGTTCCATTTCCCCATTTGTCCATAACATATCCAATCTTGACCATGATGCGTGTGGTGCTGAATAGTAAGTATACTGTTTTGTCTGGATTTCTTTCTCTCCATATATCTTTTAATCCTAATTCTTCTGCCATTTGATAAAATACTTTTGGTAATGTTTTCCTTTTCCTTTCCCCCCCTAGATTTTCGTTATTGTAGTCTTTTCCTAAATTTGCTATTGCATTGAAATCACCTAGCAGGCATATGTTCTCATATTCCTGTTCTACTAATTTTCTGTATAGTTTGGTAAAAAAAAAAAATCTTGTTTCTCATTCAGCGCATATATCACTGTCAATAACATTTTCTTATAATTTATATAAACTTCTAACATCAAAATCCTACCCTCCTCATCTGCATATACCTGTTTTGCTTGTAAATGTTTCTTAATATATATTGCTATCCCCTTCTTTTTTTTGATAGGCAAGAGCTACGTATAAATCTCCTAACTTTGGTGCTTCTAACAGTTTACTTTGATGTTTCTGGATATGTGTTTCTTGAAGGCATATAATATCTAAGTTCAATTTCTGTAGTTTAGCTATCATTTTTTTCCTCTTAATTTGTGAATTTAAACCATTGATGTTAATGGAAATCAATTTGATTTCTTCTGCCATCTTACTCTGTAGTTGTTTCTTGTTGAAGCTTATTTGCTCTCATTTGGTGTCTCGTTCTTACGCCTTCTCTTTCCACTTCTTCCTGCTCTCTTTCCTATTGTTCTGTTTCTCTATCCTCCACCCGATCTTCTTCTTGGCTCCTACTTTTCACTTCCTCTTTGCTGTTCTGGTCTTCTCCTGATACCACATATAGTTCAAAGAATTCCCTCGTTTTTTCTATACTGTCTATTTTAAAAATTTTATCCTGCCATGATATTAACATTCCCTCTGGGATGAGCCATTTGAACAGGATGTTATTCTTATTCAGTTGGGGGGCCAGGAATCTGTATTTCTTTCTATGTTCCCTTATTCTTCTTGGAATTTGTTTCAATGTTACAACTTCTGTTCCCTTGAATATCAGTGGTTCATCTCTTATCACTTTGTATATCTCATTTCTCAGTTGTTTCTTTGAGAATCGTATATGAACCTCTCTTGGAAGTCTAAAACATCTTGTTTAGTTGATATATATTCTATATACCTCATCGATTTCCCTTCGAACCTCTTGGCCCTCTTTTTGTAACGCTTCTGCTATGAGATCTGCCATTAATTTGGTCAAGTCCTCCCCCTTTTCTTCTGTTACATTCTGAAATCCGAGGAAGAAATCAGCCTTTTCCATCTCCAAATATGCAATTGCCTCTTCAAATTTCTTGTTCTCTCCCTTTAATTTCTGTTCTATTGATTCTACTTTCTTATCTGTTTGTTCAACCTTTGCCTCCACTGCTTTCATTTTATGTTCCGTCTTTACTACTGTTTGTTGGATTGTACTTATCTTCTCATCAAGTTTCCATATTTTACCTTTCATTTCCCCCATTTCAGTTTTAAAGTCTGCGTGGTTTCTCACCATAGTTTCTTGTATTGTTGTTAAAGCCATTTGAATTGTTTGCATATTTGATACCTGACTTGCCTTCTCAGGATTAATCATGCCCTCTATGGAACATTGTCCTGCTGGTGATGTTATCGTTGAAGTTAGGTTGGATGCTGTTTTCTTCCCAATCTTAGAGGTAGTTGTCGTGGTGGACATCTTAGGCTTCCCAAATCTACCTATTTTCTTAAGAAAGTCTTTCAATATTATCATCCGTTGTATCAACTCCCTTCTGCGTTTTCTATATTTATCTCTTCCCTTTTATCTTATTCTAATCCCTTCAGTTTATCATTACAAG